CGACCTGTGCCACGGCGCGGGTCGTTCTAGTCATGCAGCCGCCCCGGCGATCGTGCTCGGGGCGTATCTCAGCACTCACCGCGCGAGACGCGTGGAGTGCCACACAAACCAGTAAACAGCAGCCTCCGCTGCTGCGACTCGAATGCTTCAAACGCGCACCTGTGCTTGCGCACGGCGTGCCCTACACGAGCCTCCCTACCGCACGAGCGTGCGGGCGGCTCGAATCCACCCTTCCCCCGCCCTAGCCACTGTTGGCTGGGCGGTGGGTGCCGTCCGCCTTGCGGCGGCGGCGACACTTGCAACACGAGCACACCTCGCTTCGGTGTGCTCGATCCTTCACAACGGGCCGCCCGCAAGGACGCGTGTGCGGCCCTCTCTACTCGACCTGTGCCACGGCACGGGTCGTTCTAGTCATGCAGCCGCCCCGGCGATCGTGCTCGGGGCGTATCTCAGCACTCACCGCGCGAGACGCGTGGCGTGCCACAAACCAGTAAGCAGCAGCCTCCGCTGCTGCGACTCGAATGCTTCAAACGCGCACCTGTGCTTGCGCACGGCGTGCTCTACACGAGCCTCCCTACCGCACGAGCGTGCGGGCGGCTCGAATCCACCCTTCCCCCGCCCTAGCCACTGTTGGCTGGGCGGCGGGCGCCGTCCGCCTTGCGGCGGCGGCGACACTTGAAGCGGTCGCGGCGCGTATGCGTCGTACTGTTAGGGCGGCCGGGCCCGAAGACGGCCCGGCCAGGCTCTGCATAAGGCCATCTTCGCCACAACGCGTGGCATTGGTCCAACTACGGCAACCCACAGCGAGGGGGGCCGCTTAGGCGACCTTGCTCACATCAGCTGCATATGCTTCAGTGGTGCAAGGAGGAGTGGAGAGGGACCTTTGACGGTGTCTGGCCCATGCGGGTTGGCACGTACCTAGTTGTGCGCATATGCGTACGCGACCGTTTTGGAGCGCGGGGCGGCGGCGTCGATAGATATCGACGCCGCCGTCGCCGCGCATCATGACGAGTTCGCATTCCCCATGTGACCCTCTATACCTCACCTTCGAGACAAGCCAGGGTTCAACCCAATGGACCTAGTGTGGCGTCGAGGCCCGCACTGTCTGGACATGCGGGCCGCGGCTGACAGAACGGCGGGCTAGGCATTGAGAGCCCAGGAGTTTTAATGAGAAGAAACGTCCGATAACCTGCCGATAACGCTATGCGCCGGTCTCAAGGGAGAGAACGACGAGAGTGGGACGACCGCGAGGTGGCATGAAGATTGCAGCGAGAATCGGCGAGAGACTGCGAAGAGAGATAGGAAGAGGCAGACTCCCTAGGGTGGGCGACGGCTAGCGCACCACACACCTCTCCTTAAAATCCCTGTGTGGTGGCGGCGCGCCGTCCTCCCATCCCTCCCTTGGGTTGTCTGTTTTCTTTCTTTTTATGCGCCGGTCTGTGATAAAGGATCCCAAACGCACAACCCCGGCACAGGAACGCACAACCCCGCTACCCCGGGCCCGCTGGGTGCGCTTCTTAGTCCCCGGCCCTGGATGTGCGGTTAACCCTTTTACGTCCACATTTCGAGCGAGTGAAAACCAACTCCTGAGCACGGCGCCGCAGGCGCCTGTTGATAGGTCCAGGTGATAGCCCTGGATGGGCAATGCATTCGCCTACCTGGGCCTCAGATCGCCCGACCGCGTCCCGGTGCTCTGCGTTCGGATTTGTGACGCCGCCGCACCGCGCCGCGGCCGGGGGCCCGCCGGAGGACGAGGATGGCCGTGACGGACCGGGACGAGCTCTGGGAGGTTCAGTGTCAGTGAGTATATTGTAGAGACTGACCATGTGCACAATATCTTGACTGAGAGCTAAGCCAGGGGAGGCGATGCCGGGGCCGTACAGCAGCTTGATGGTGCTTCGCCGGCGTAGAAGCGGCCGCGGAGGGCTCCGGGTGCCTGAAAAAGACAGATTTACGTGGGATGTGGGAGATTTACTGTCGACTCAAACGACACTGTGGCGTAATCCTCTCATATATGGCTAAATATTTACCGAGCCGTTTTAAAGTTCCACCGCTACGCGACTGGAGATATATCGAGATTGGGTCACCATGACCCTTATGGCGCGAAAGGATTAATGACGGCACTCCAAGTGCTCCAAATGCTCCCGGGCCCGAAATCGCACAGAGACAATCACGCAACACGGGGTCCCAGGGAAGGCCTTCACCCTTTGGGGACCCGCTGTGTGCGGCGGCATGAACACCTAAAGGGTGAATGAGTAGCCTCTCTCCTTGGCCTTGCCCGGGGCGATATGTGAGAGATATATATACAGATTTTTCGCAATACCAACAACTCTAACACATCAAGAAGGAAGAGAGGCCTCCTTATCAGCTGGTCGGCCGCCATGTGGGCCTCCGGGCCTGCTGCGGCGGCGCGGCCGGTTGTGAGGTCGGGCTCGGCCCGGCCCGCTTAGGGTACCCCTAGGGTTCTGAGGGCCGGATTTTTTTAAGACCTTTTAAGAAATGAGGAGGTTTGGGGGCTCAAATTGTCATTTAAGAGATTGCAGGCACGGGGGGTCCCTCTTTTAAGTCCGTTTAAGAAAATCGGCCTCACCGGCACACGCGTCGCTGGGTTCCGCGCCGGTTTCTCCAATACTGCCGTTATTAGGCACAAACCCGCCACTGAAGACGCATCTGTAAGTCTGGTGCACTGGCAGGAGCCATACTCGCATAGGGGACGCGTGCCAGCTGACTGTAGCCAGCTTCCCGGCCTCCGGCGTCTACCGGGGGCTTAGGGTACCCCTAGGGTTCTGAGGGCCGGATTGTTTTAAGACCTTTTAGGAAATGAGGAGGTTTGGGGGCTCAAATTGTCATTTAAGAGATTGCAGGCACGGGGGGTCCCTCTTTTAAGTCTGTTTAGGGCCAAGGCGCGAGACACACACATGTACATGTGCATGCATTGATTTGTGACACAGTGTCGTGTGCGACCTGCAGGTGGGGGGGACATGCGCACCCGAGGGAGTTTGCAGTTTCGTCCCCCCCCCCCCCCCGGCCCCCGGCCCCCGGCGGCGCGGCGGCGGCCACATACGCATACCCGCCCATAGCCTTCGCCGGAGGCTTCGTCCACAGCTGCTGCGGTGGCGGCCGCAGAACTGGTGCGTGGTGGCGGCGGCCGCATGGCAGGCGTTGAGCCTGCGGGTGGATTGGCGTGTTGGGGCTGGTGCTGGGCCGCGACCAGAGCTCTGATACCATGTGTGACTGATACCCGTGACGAAAAACGAACACACTCCAAGCGCTAAGCGTGAGGACACGATTTCGAATTCGTAGGAGCATCTGAGCAAAATTGAGCCCGCTCAGGTGTGAACAAAATTATAAGGGTCGAGCAGGTTTCGAACTGGGGACCTCCCGCCAGCGGGAAGGCATCCATCAAGAGACGCTGCGATTGAAAGGAGGTCTCAGCTCGGGAAACCTATATAGCATACCGGAGGAAGTAGACACAGATACGCACACACCGACGCCCGAAGTGCCAAGAAGGACATCATTAGTACGAAACCTCAGAAGGCCATGGGCGCCGAGAGAACATTCCCCCGAGAGGACAAAAGAAAGTCGACGCACCCCCTCCTTGCGCAGTGTCCCCCGCTATGTGTCGCCGTTATCGGGGCACGCTATCCTGTGCAGTCAGGGCAAGCGGGGGCGAGGCGCACTCCCATCTCTCCTGTGTACGGATGGTGACTGTCCCTAGTCTCGGAGGGGGGCAAGAAGATAAAAATATCTAATTTTTGATACCCCATGTGCGTGTGTATCTGTGTGACTGCGGAGTTGACGTCTCCGTCGGTCGTGGCGGCGTGGCTGAGGGCGGCGCTGGAGGCGCCCGAGGGCGGGGCGTGGCTGGTCTCATGGGTCTAGCAAACCATAGACCACGCTGAGAGAACGCAACGCTAAACCCAGCGAGTGTATACCTCCCGCGTACGGTCTACGGAGACGAAAACGACGATCCAACATCTCCATAATTCACATTCACACACACGGGGTTTCGGTGGGTTGGATGGGAGGTAGATTGTCTACCTACCGCAGGACCCTATCGTTACGTTGACACTTCGCTCGGATAGATGCTAGACACCGTGAAGAGGGTATTTGAAGGATACGCAAGTACCACCACGCACACTATGACAGTCACTCTCGCGACTCTGCTGTTGGTCTGCTGCTCAGCTCCTCTGGCCACGCACGTCTACTGCGCCCTGAGCAGCGCCTCCACCTGCGCCCGCTGCTCCGCAGGCAGCGCCGCCATCTCCTCTGGCGACATCAGCTTCAGCTGCGCCGACCGCGACTGTGGCTGCGCCGGCGCCGCCGCCGCCGCCGCCGCATCAGGTCGTGGAGGCTGTGGCGGTTGCGACGGCGGCGGCGCAGGCGCAGGCGCAGGCACAGGCACAGGCGCGGGCGGTGCAGAGGGTGTCGGCGTCGGCTGGTGAGGCGTCGGCTGCTGCTGTCCGGGATGCGGCGCTGCGGCCAGCTGCGCCTGCAGGGCCGGCCCAGCGTCGCGGATGCTCTGCGCCAAGTTGAGGCCGAGCCGGATCTGGGCTCGAAGCACCTGCTAGCAGAGGAGGGGCATGAGGGTGGTGGGCAGGGAAGCCCTGTCTGCGAGGTGCGGCCGGCGTACCGCCATCGCGAGTGCCGGCTGCTCAACGAGCCGTCGGCGAGCGGCGTCAACGTCTTGCGCTATCTGCGCCTGCAACTCGAGCACCGCCTCTCGAAGGGTGTCGTCTGGTTCCGCGTCGATGCGGTCGCGCAGCTCGTCGAACCCGAGGCCCGTCACTGCTGCGCCGAGTAGCTCGAGCGCTCCTGGCATCGAGGAGTGTAAGAGGCGAAGTTCGCCTGCCTGGCGAGTAGAGCCACGCCTGCTATTCACAGCACAAGCCCTCGCCCGAGGGCTCGGGCATGCGCAGCGAAAAGCAGGCGTGCTCGCCAGGAAGTTCGCAAAGAAATCGCAGGCACAAAAGAAATCGCGAAACAAAACAAAACATTTTTCAGACCGCCGGATACGACCGCTCCCCAGCCTTCGCCTCAGCCGCAAATCGACGGCGGGCGCGAGGGTTTGGGAGATCGGGCACGGTGCGGACGCCGCTATGTGAGAGCCGCGGGCGCTGTCTCAGCGCCCCAAGCCACACATGTGCAGCGATGGGCGAGTATGCTGGCCTCAGAGGAGAGGGAGGGACGACAATTCACGAGCATGGCAGGCACGGGCGACAAGCGGGTCACAGCGGTGGCGAATCAGCAGCGAATCAGCCTCTCGGAGGGGTGGCGGCTAGACGAGCTCGTTGGAGCCGTCCGAGGCGAAGCGCACCTGGCGCCGGGGCGCGACGGGCGCGGTGAGCCGACGCGAGAGGGCGGGGGAGAGAGGGCGGGGCGGGCGGGGCGGGGCGAGGGGGGAGGGCAGGGGGCAGGCTGCGCACAAAGCCGAGCCCCTTGAGTCGGCGCCCTTCTGCCTGCGCGCGAGCAGTCTCGTCGCGAGCAGGCTCGCTGCCGGCCGGCTGTCGCTTGGCCGCCTGCGGACGGGGGGTAAGGGGGGGGGGGGGGGATGTCCGGGGGGAAAAAGAGGGGGGGGGGGGGGGGAGCTCTCCCTCCCGAAAGGGAGGGGACCCCCCTGGGTTGGGTTCCCCGGGGGGGGGGGGGGGGAAAAAGCCCCCAAACCTCCTGTAGCGGAGAACCCCCCCTCTGGGGACCCCCTTTTGAAATCCGGGGCCCCGGGGGGGCCCCCCCCCCCATGGCCCAAAAACAAAAGGGGGGGGGGGGGCCCC